ATTTATTTAAAGTCACCCTTTACTTCTAAAGATTCCAGTACTTTTGCTCAAGTAAATCATTTGTGGGTAAATACTAAGGTAATAAAACCACACATAAATACATCCTGGAGTTTTTCAGATTGGAGTTTCTCAAATCTGAAATACACTATTTTAAAAATCACTTTTGATTATGTTGTATTTCTATTTTATCTCTGGTCAAAGATTTTTTTCTTATATTGATCATAAAAAAGAATTTAAATAAAAGTCTTGGGTAATTTTCATAGGGCAATGATACTACATAAGAAAATTATGTACGTAGAAGTTATTATAGTGATTAGATGGAAAATGTAATTTGTATAATGCAAATTAAGAACAGGTATTTTCAGCTTATTGATTCTTAAGTAACTGAAGAATGTGTATTCTATTTGGGCTTGTGAGGAAGGTCTTAAAAATTTCTCTCCCTCTTTAAGTAACTATCAATATGAATGAAATTTTGCTTTTCATAGTATCTGAATAGCCTGGTTAAAAGGTCATCAAATGAATTTAAATAAATAAAAATGAACCCACAAGTCAGTTTGTCAAAAAGATAATTTCTTGAAAAATACTCTTTCCTTCCCTTTCATTTTCAAGTTTTCAATATCTTAGACCTGAAACACAAAATATGTCCCACATGCAAATCAGCATAAAAACCATAGAACATTAAGCTATTAATTAGTGTATCAGTTGGAAAATTAGAAATAATTCTTAGGTCATTTTGATTCAGTACATTTACAGTGCTTTCCTCCATACATCATCAAGAAGAGAGCCTCTAGAAAAGCTGTGAGGTACAAGGCAGGCACAAACAAATAAAGCAACTCTAGTAAGGGAATAAAGAAACTCAGGGTGAAGAACTGAGGTATCTGCAGTTTTCATTATGCCCTAATATGTTAACATAGGAAATGGTTAAAGTTGAACATGAGGACCATTTTAGTTGAAGTTAAAGAAATCTTGCTTATTAGTAGAACTCTGAGGTTCAATGGAGTAAATAACTATCTGCAGACAATGATTATTTCAAATTTTATGAATTTTCAGATAATATATCCAGAAAATATGGAAAGAGTAAAAGAAATTTTTAGGGTGGTTGATAAAATTTCACCATTTTAATGATGTTTGTTTATTTGTATTTCTGATTGAACAGGAATGGATTTTAATCTTAGAAAAAATTAAGTATGGAGAGACTGAATGTATATACATCACTTCTTATTATCAAAGTACAAATGCTTAACATTTAGTTTGAACATTTTGTCAGATAAAAAATTGGGCTTTTACGTAAAGGATGTTTAGATAAGCTAGGTATTTTAAAAGACAAAGTGAATCAGTCTTTCTGTGGTTGAAAATACTAATCCATCAATTTACTAAGCAATTGGTCAGCAAAAATAACATGCAAATACTGCTTGGAGGGAAGAGTTGGTATTTGGAACGTGGGGTGAGTGATGAGTCTAATACAGTATCAGCAAGTAATCATATGTTATTGTGGTAAATTAGAATTAGCATATTAGTCTGTTTTCAAAATGCTATGTATCATAAGCAATTTTCTAATATTAGGGAGAGTGGTAAGATCTGGTTAGATGCCACAAATTAACAGTCAAAGTGATTCCTTTTGGGAGTTCTTACTTTTTGAAGGTTGCATCTAGGAGATTATCTGTGAAACGTTTAAGAGGTGTTTCTACTATGGATGGAGGTAGAGGAATACATCCATTTAAACTCTCATAGTACCCTTACTGTACTGAAGAAGATGGTTAATGTTAAAGAAACTTATTTTGCATAGAAAAAGACTGGTTAACTCTGTCATATAAACTGGGCAACAGTTTTGGCAAGATAATTAAGATGATACCAACAAAGACAGCAGATACTATGAAGCAGATGCTGTGGAGGTGAGAGGAAGGAAACTTTTTGGGCCTTGTGTTGTGGTAAGTCTTTGTAATAATATTTGCAACACTGACAGGCTTAGACAGTGTTGCTGCCTGCCATACCTAGACCGTGGAGCATTTATTCCATTGGTGATAGCTTTATTAATTCAAGCATTGATCGAGTCAAATAAATAAGCTATACAGTTATGCACTATGAAAAAACAATCCATGATTAAGGATAACGTTATGGTGGAGAAAATGAAATAGGCTAATTAGTCCATGAATTATGTTATTGCTCCTAACTGCTAACCAGCTTTGAGTGTATACACATATGTACACACGCCCGCACACACACACACTCACACACACACGAGGACCTCAAAGATTTAAGGGGCAGCTCCTTTGAGAATTTCCTCTCTTAAGTAAAGGAAAAGTAGATTGCTAGAAGTGGATATAAGAACAGGGTAACGACAGATGGGAACCAGTTTTACACATAAATTTATGTGAGGTAGATTACTAGGATGTCAAAAGACTTCAAAGATATATCCTGGTGTCTTTTGAAGATCAAAGTGGTATGCTTGTAAAGGACGTTGGGTGAATGATGTCAGGAGTTTGCTGTGAGAATTCTGGAATGGTAATTTCAATTCATCCTCATTCTGCTTTATCACTCTAGGTTCTATCACAATACAAAAACTCAAGCTAAATAAAATATTCTCTTGGTAACCTTCCCCACTTTCTTAATTCTGCCTCATAAGGCTTTAGATTTTCTAATTGGACTTATCCAATTTCCTAAAGGCTTGTTAAAGTCGGGTAGAAATGAGAACAGAACTCTGGGTCACATTCCTTTAGTTCAGCTCCAAACTGAGGAAGAATAGGACTATTCATATAGGCCTTCATTCAGTGTGGTGAGTTTCCTCAACCATTCTATATGGACATGGGACACCACCAGCACTATAAAGTGACAGAAAAGAACACCAGTAGTTTGGTTTTTGTTTGAAATAATTATTTTAATAGGAATCAGTCTGCCCTACCTGAGAGGGAAATTCCTAATGCCCAGTGTGACAGAGAGGTGTAAGCCCTTACATCCTGTATTATGATGTAGTTGAGCCCATCTTTGCACAGCTAGTGCTCCATGTCACTCTGAAAGGCGCTTCCATTCCAGAGTCTAAAAAGTCATTACCTGGGATCTTGTAAATGGTAGAGGAGCAAAGACTCATCTAAAGAAGAAGCTATAGCTTGATCCCCTTCACATATAACATGTCATATATACTGGTATGAGGTTATAGAATAAATAAAATGGAAAAAAAGAGGTAAGCTTAGAAGTCTAGTTCAAGTTAGAAATTCTCAACAGAATCTCATAAAATTTTAGAAGACTGCTATAGCCACTAAGACATACCAATATGGAACTACTGCCAGGATTAGTGATTTGGGCTTGGATACTGACCGTGTGCTGGGGCAAGCTGATTTACCCACAGCTTTATAAGAAAATGCTCTTCAGCCATAGGGCTGACTGCACTTAGCTCCTCACATAACCTGAGGGAGTCAAATAATGAGACCTCATGAAAACCTCCCATGGACAGAGCAAGGCCCACTCAGAGAGGAAAGACATTGATTGTACACAGCTTTATTGAACAGCACCCTTAAAACAGAAACCAGAGGTCAATCTCTGTGAAGACAGAAAAACTGCAAACTTTAAACATGCCTGTGGTTCACAAGGAACATTCCAAAGGGACTGGAAATGGGAAATAGGGATAAATGATAAAATTTGGGTTAATGGGTACCATGCACCCTGGAGAAAGCAGAACAGTTCAAAGTATTATAGGAATATTTTAGAGTAGAGGAAGCCATGTTATCCATCTAGACGCATCCACCATAAGCACCGTCCGAGCTGAAATGATATAAAATGACCTTCAGTAAGGATGGGGGTCTGTCTCTGCTTGACACTTGCAGACTGCAGAGTTTCCCAATAAAAGCACAACATCTTTCTTATAACGGCGGGTCTGTCCTGCATAGAGGTCCAGGTGCACGGCTCTATGGACTTTACAGGTTATGATTTTGTTTTAGAAAAGATGGTTGAGTTTGCTGGTGGTACTTGAAAGGAAATGCCAAAAGAAACATATTGAGTACCTGAACCCCACTGTTTCACTGTGAATGTTCTGCAGTTCTTCCCTCCTCCTGCCCACATGTGATAGCCTGGCTTAAATTATGGGAAAGAAATAGCACAATTTGCCCCATTCTGTTTATTCGGCTAATTACATTTAGGGGGAACATTTTCCTGTGAGGTTCTTGCTGATAGGGCAAATACAGGAACTGAGGAGGGAAACTTCAGGAATGTTCTCAGTTTTAGTGTCTTTAAATCCTTACTACCAGGATATTTGAGTGAAACTGTCTCGGAAACTCTTCAGAAATAGATGGATATGTTTGTAAAACAAGAGGCTGGTTTTTATTTTTTCTACTGACATGCATTTGAAATTTTCTCTTCAATGACTCACTCCACTTTCCCCTGCCTTTGTGTCTGCTTTCCTGTGAGTTTTCTCTACATATTTATGAAATAAATCTCCTGTGCTTTATTTGTGATATTTGATCAAATGATCTGGAGCCTCACTTGACCCCTACATATTTGTCACACCACCTCCAAGGGAACGGTCTGTCTCACCTGTTCTTGGCTCACATGGAAGCAGATCTTGTGAAAAGAAGATGAGGCACAGATCCACATTTCCAAAAATTTCTTGTTATTATCCATGGAATTACTTAGGTGGAAGCATTTCTAAATTTTGTCTTCAGCAACTAGCCTCAGGAACTCCAGAGTACCAAAAAAAGGATTATAAAAAAATACCTGGAGCTTTGGATGATGAGCTATTTCAGGATGTCTACAATAATCCCCCACCACATTTTGAAATTCCAATTCCCTGGCTCAAATAGACCTTTGCAAGTGCTAGGGACGTGACTTTCTCAGAGAGAGAATGACGATCTGTTGGTAGTAAAATTAAAACATTTCACATTTACAGATATTTAGAATCCAGTGCTGAATAATAATCTTCTGCACTTAGCTTATACTAGAATATTTTCCTTGCCAGAGAATCAAGGTTTATTACCAAAGAAATAAATTTCTACAACAGCAGAGTAACTTACCTCCGGGTAATAAAAGGACTTCCTGAGGAGGGGACTGAATGGGAGAATAAGGTGTCATTCATGCTGGTAACAGGTCTGGGTGGCCTATAATAAAGTACAGAGTGGAAGAAAAGTTAAAGCAAGCAAAATTCACAAGTCAAAAGCAATTGTCCTCGAACAAACGAGCTGGGAAGATCACAGTTTGTCTTACCTAGGATCAATATGAAATTTTGCGTTTTTAATATGATTAAATGTTTCAAAATTTCATTGCGAATATAGAATCTCAGTTGCATATCAAGAGGGAGCTGTCTGAACACCACTAAGCTGCTTATCTATGAGCTCAGAATCTTGTTTTCCACCCCCAACCCCCTGAGTCATGTACTTGAATGGAGCAAGGTTTTTGACCTTGGCTTTAGGTCAACTGCCTTCAAATGGGAGAAGCTCTGAAAACTTGATGACAGTCAGGATCATTATGTTCTTGGAAAGAGAATTCCTGAGGTTATGAAAACTTGCCTCTGATTTCCCCATGACAAACACCCTCTTCCAATATACCCAGTCTGCAAGGACTGTGTTACAAAATTACAGCATGTTTTGTTTGTTCTTTGTTCTAAGTGAAGATGCAGCTAAGCACCAAGATGATTAAATGAGTTTATGTTATCTGGATCGTCCGCCTGACATCACAATATGCCAGGCATCCTATAAATTTCATATTCCCCTATATGATTAGAAACAGGTACTAGGGTTCAATATTCCTCAGAATTATTTGTGACCCTAAATATTGGATCAGGTATGTCATCCTGATGACATATTTTCAGTTCATGCTGTGGTTCTTTATCACTAATGTCTTAGTTCAGATACGACAAAAGAGTATCTTTCGTAGAGTTTTATATGATGAGATGGGAGTTAGAGTTTTAGATGAATAATAAGGAAATTTTGTTTTCACTATAATTTTTTTCATTTGAATTTGATAGCATAGCATTTTTGAAGACCAAGTATTTATTGCAGAGCCCTTCAAGTCTGCTTGTGTTGGCTTAATTAAGAGAAAAATTAGTCATAGTTTAATTTTTACCTTGAGAACCAGAGTTGGGTTTGGATTCTACAGTGAAGAGAATCTGTGAAAAAGGTAGAATTTCATACCAGTGTAACTATGAGAATGGACATGATTCTATGCTGGTTTTAAAATGTCTGCCCTATACACAAAAATTCATTAAGACTTTTGGTTTCTGGTACCCAATGCTGATCTGTGTTTTAAGATTTTAAAAGACATCTGTTGGATGAGGTCAAAACATTAGGCACACTATTTCACTTCTTCTAAACATATTAATTGAAGTTTGGGAGACTTAATAGTTTGCATTTCTTATTTAGGTTGTACTGCTGATGCACAAGATTATTTTTAAATAAATTCTGCCTTGAGCAGAACACCTTCCAGTTACAAGGATGCTGTTTTATTTAAATATCCTCTGTGAACTTTTAAAGTTAGGCATATCATACCGAGTGAAATCTATTTTTTGCAGTTTCGCAGAAAGTTGAAAAAAATCAATTTGATCAACGTTTGTTGTTTTCTCTTGTCTATTAATTATTTTTTGTATTCTTACTTTTTATTGTTAGGAAATGAGAAAATAATTAATTTAGAATGCTCTTTTTTCTTTTTTTAAAATGATTTATTTATTTGTGCATACAGAACTACTGGGGTACAAGGGTGAGAGGATTCACCACAGACAGAGTGGGGAGCAGAACAGGCAGATATTCAAAGTACACTGCTGAGGGGAACAGCAGGTGGGTCAGGAGAGATCCACCTCACCATGTGGATCACCTCTGGCGCAGGCGGGGATCGAACTTTAGCTTCTTAGTGCTGTGCTTTAGCTTCTTAGTGCTGTGCTTTAACCTGCTACACCACCAGGGAGGGCCTGATTTAGAATGCTTTTTAACTAGCCTGGAAAATGTACTCCACTGAACTTGGTCACTATGGAGCCAATATCACAGTTTCTTAGTCTATGGCTTCACATCTAAGGTTCATCATTTTGATGTTGAACTTGAGACATAGAATAGTGAAATTTGGTACCAAATGAGGCTTTCAAAGAGAATGAAGATCTGTTTTCTCCATGATCAAATGGCAAGCTATCAAATCTAACAAATAAAGCATGATGCAACTTGAGAGATATTTTCTTGAATGAAAAGAAACAGCTCTGCCAGATAAATTCATACAGCCCTAGTGCAAAATTTCCTTTCTGTACAAGACCTTCACAGAAGGTCAAGTTTTTATGAAGGCATTATTTTTTTTGTAAACTGAAGGTGTTCAGTTCCAGGCAGAAACTGTTTTTTTTTTTTTTTTTTTAAAGATGTATTTATTTATGCATATAGAACTGAGGTACAGAGGTGCAGGGGCAGTGAGAGGATTCACCAGAGACAGAGTGGGGAGCAGGACAGGCAGATCAATGAAGTGCAGTGCTGAGGGGAGCAGAGGGAGGGTCAGGAGAAGTCTGCCACACCACGTGGGTCACCTCCGGGGCCGGGGATAGAACTCACACTTAAGTGGCTGTGTCTCGCCTGCAGTGCTGCATCCTAACCTTCTGTGCCACCAGGGAGGACCCAGAATCTGTTTTAAACTAGACTCATATCACTCACTTGTGTGCATCTCATAACCATTTGCAATTATGACTATGTCTTTAACGTTCACTGGCGACTACTAAACTACTTACCAAGTATCACTTTAGGCAGCGAAAAATTGAATAGAATAGAGACTGTTAATTATGGCAATATTTACAAACAATGTAATAGCTGCGAACAAATGCCAAAACACCCAAATGTCACCATGTAAGTGGCCTTTGTGTGCCTATGATAATTTAGAATAGCTAAATGAACATAGTATTTAAAAGTCTTAGCTATCCCCAGCCAGAGACAGACATGGGTATTTGTTTACGGCAAACAGCTGTTGAATAAGGAAACACATAGAAAAATGACTAAAGTTAAATATAGGAAAATATTCTGTTCCCGTGTTCTACATCTAGATATTCTACACTTAGTACCCTTGCATGTTATTTCAATAATTAATATTCTACACAAATTTCATTTTAAAATTTAGACATTTACCCTGGAAAAATATGTACACAGTGCATATAGGTCAGTGTTTTGATACAAGTCCTATTTTGAGAAAGTGTTTAAATATGTGGAACTTTTCTGAGAAAAAGGCACATTTTGTAGAGACATTTTAGGGAATTCATAAAAATCCTGAAATTCTCTATGGAATCCGAATTGCATAGAAGCCATCTTTACTTCAGTGACTAACCTATCAGGTCATACCGCCACCATAAGCTAAGTTTAAAAATTTTACTCATTAGCCACTGAGCAGTATCACACACCCACATGCCCACACTCACACACATGCACAACCCTGAGAGCTGACTGGGTCAAGGCCCTGTGCTGTGGGGTGACTGTAAAGTGGCTACATGTGATGGTGACTTTCCTTTCACACTGCCCCGCCTCCTTCTGTCTCAATGCAGAGGCAGCACCCGGAGTTCACTCCACTGCACAGATATGATAGCCACACTGGTCTCCACCTGGCAGCTCAGAGTGAATGCTGTGCCAGGGTGAAGTTCTTAGTGAAAGTTAAAGTTCTTAGTGAACTCAAAGAGCAAAGACTTCTCTTAGTTTTGCTCATTTATTATTAACTTAGGGATGGACTCTGACTTCGGGCAGGAATGCTGAGCCCTTAATAGGAACAGCTATGAGGTCACTTGCTACAAGTTAGCCCTTTGGGACACTCCTCAGATTTATTTATTCCTGTTTTTTTTTTCTAAGTTTACAAAAATAACTTTCCCGTATTATACAGAATTGGCTTACATTTATTTTTAGGATAATAAGCCTATGCTAACACAGGAGTCTCTAGACAGTGCATTTTGCTCAGGGCAGTGAAGCCTCAAAACACATGCACAAGCACCAAATGAAGCCCCGTCATATTTACGCAAAGCTCAGAGACTTGTCACAGCACACACTGCTTATGGCATTTGCTTAGGTCCATCAAGGACAGTCAGAGTTTTTATGAGCATCTGAGATCTGTTGCAGTGTCTTTTACAGATGTTGTCCCAACTGCCTGAAGGGTCGCCATTGCATTGGTGAATTCCTACAATCTATAGGTCTGACCAGCCCACTTCTTGATGCAAACATACAAACACACACAAACAGTAGGTCTTGCTGAATTCTGCAAAGTGAAAGGTGGCTTATAGGAGGAACACTGAATATCCTAGAAGTTTCCAAGGACCTGTGCCTACATATTTGTTATTTTTTCATAGAAACAGGTGCTGAACATCTTTCTTTTGGGTCCATGATAACATCAAGGAAGAAATGTTTTCTTCTCCTAAGTCTCCCCTGTTGTCTCTGCCACCCAGGGATGAGGGCTGAGGTTCCAGGACATGCAGCTTCGAGGTATGGGAGTGATGGTTGCTAACACGGCTCCCAAGTCTCACCCCTTTCTCAAGAAACTCACATATAATTGGCAAGCTTTTTAAATGTCTATTTTTGGATGTTCTGTTGAATTCTCCAACCTCTTTCTACCTCTCCTTGCATAGGCCATTCTGTTAAAGTTAAATAGTTAATGATTAAACAACAACATTTAGATTTTCTGGTATCTTAAGATCAGTACCTCAGCACAGAAATGAAACAGACTTTTATATTTGGGATTTGAAGCACATGTAAGAGTTACAGGGTGCTTTAAAATTTTCTTACCATAGTAATTTCATTAATTGTTAATGTCCAATTGTGCAAACACCACTAACATCCATCTTTCATTATAACTTTGATTTTTGAGTATGTCCCAGCTCTAGATGAATAACTTAGTGTTGGTTGCATATTTTATTTGCACATGGGGAAAGAAGGATGCATACCACTATAAGAAAAAATTGCCAAGACATTACTTTCACTCTTTTTAAAATGAAAATTTAAACTTGATCCTTAACAGCTAATATGAAATTGCACATATATCAGTGAAAAATGATGTCTCTTCCTCTGGAGGGTAGAGATACTCACACGATGTGGGCCAAATTGAGTGGCTTCTCAGGCTGGTCGGGGAACATGGGGTGCAAAGGCTCACGGCTGGAAGCACAACTCAGAGACTTGCTTAATGCATTAGTTAGCTTCTTAGCTGGTGATTTCTGGAGAGAAGAAAAGTAGATGTGGTAACGATTAATATTTAAATAATATTTTATCAGGTGACTTGTTCACAGTGATTGGTTAATTGATTCATTCACTCAAGAAAACTTCGTTGTCTACCCTCTATGCTGGCAGTAGAGTGTTGGAACCAGAAAATTCTGCAATGAAAGGAAGTAGTCAGTAGACTGGGACATAATGGAATAGTGCAACTCCTTCTGATAAACATTTAGGGGACTAGGAAGCTAATTCCAGATAAAGGAAGTAGCTGCTACAAAGGGAAGGAAGACAAAACCTCAATCTGGAGAGGACCGTAGGAGGCAGATTTTTAAAATCCTCATATGACCATCAAGGACAGTGGGATGACAGTGAAGTACTGATGCAGTGGGAGACAGTGAAGAGTTTGGAGTATAGGGGGAGAGGATCAAATCTGATTCTTGATGGATTGTTCTTATGTAAGAATAAAAGCCAGTTTGTAGGGGATATGAGTGGAAGGAAGAGATGAGCAAGTTTTGTAGCAATCCAAGTGGAAAATGATTCAAGTATGGCTGCATATATCTAGTTCAAAGTGAATTGCCATCTGAATTCTTAGCATTTAAAATTCATGCTCTCCCCAGAGCATCATGCTTGTTCTTTTCATTTAACTGGTTGGAATGTTTATCTTAAAATTTCACAGCCAAAATTATATATATAAAAAATCTACCACATATAACAACATTTCCTTTCATTCAGAAGTCATGTATAATTTTGTCATTTTCTTTTACATTTAGAGTCCTTAATTGGCAGTATAATGAAGTGACTTTGACCTCATTATTTAAAAGCTAAGAAAGAGAAGCTTGTTTCAGAAATCTCTCTTTGGCTTTTGCTGGCAGCTGTAATTTTGAGGACACTTCAAACAGAAGCAACGATACTACTAAAAACACTAGTGCCCTTTTTTTACTCTTGAGGATCCAGCATTTTAAAGACATTGCCCTGCCATATAATCTTAAAGTTCATAATCTTCAAGAAAGAAACTCTTATGTGATGTTAGCATTTACATAAAGCAGTAATAAAAAATGGTTAATCTTCAAACACCAACCCTCTAAGATTTGGGACTGAACATGTTTGAAATTTGACAATAAGACAATAAGACTCCTATTTTCATATTAAATTACATTTTGTGATCTGTGTTAGTGTATCTAGTCTGTGAAAATGTTATGCCAGTGTTGTGTATTTAAGCTAGCATGAAGGCTTCGGTATCCAATGTCTTAGTGAAAAACTGTTACTTTGAAAAGGAGCTTAAAAATTATATTTACTCTGAATAGTCATTCCCAATAACAATTCCTAGAAAGAACACTTTGACTTAAAACACATATTCTGAAAAAGTTTTTTAAAAAACTGGAAGTTTTTCACTTAGTTACTCATTTAGGTGAATTGAAATGCATAAAGATGTAGAAAAACTAAGCAATTTGCATTTTCTTATGATAGAACTATTTACATACCACAGAAACTGATTCATACATGGAGAAATACTTTCACAGAAGCACAAGAACAATATCACTGGAATTGATCTTGCTGTTGAACTGGGACAGAGGTCAGCAAACTGGCAACCATTTGAACAGTAAGTTCACCAAGAGTCAAATTCCTCCATTAGATTTAATGCCACATTCTCTGGAGACTATATTTACCACATGGGCAGACCCTACAGGTTACCTTTAGCAATGATTCTCAACTCACTATTCATGCAAGGATGATCTGTTAACATAGCCCCAATCTCCCCTTCCCCCCCCCAAAGTGAAATGGAATAGCATTGTTTAGTCCTCACTCTCACACATTTTTACGTTCCAGTCATGCACTTAAGAGAACTCCAGAATCTAAGAACAAGGAAACTAATGATAATGGTTAAACTATTCTCACCCCAAAATAAAACAAAACTTGGTAATAACTTAACTAACTGTAATAAAGAGATAATGTTCCAGAAGGTGCTCACTGTCTGGTTGTTATCTAAATCTGTACTGTATTACCTGTGTCTCCAGAAGTAACATACTAGAATCTTCCTATATTTTTTTTTTTAAAGATTTATTTATTTGTGCATACAGAACTGGAGTACAGGCCAGAGGCTCAGGGGCGGTGAGAGGCTTCACCAGAGACAGAGTGGGGAACAGAACAAGCAGATGGATGAAGTACACTGCTGAGGGGAGCAGCGGGTGGGTCAGGAGAGGTCTGCCACACCATGTGGTCACCTCCGGGGCAGGCGGGAATCGAACTCATGTGGAAGCGGCTTTAGATTCTCAGTGCAGTGCTTTAACCCGCTGCGCCACCAGGGAGGGCCCGAATCTTCCTATATTTTAAGTCTCAGGAAGCTACCCTGGATTCATATCCAATAAAGTAAGTGATCCAGTAAGGAGGGGTGGATGGGAAGGGGCAGGAGAGCATGTTTGAGCACAAGGTAAGTTAGCGCCTTCATTTTGTTACTCTCCACATGCTCCCATGCATTCTGGGTGGCACTCATCCACCTGTCAGTTCTGCCTAGACATTGCCTTACCCATGATGTATACTCTTTCATTTGGTGCTGGTTGCTGTGGGAACCACCGGCATGTCCCCTCCAGAAGCAGTCCTGACAGAGCTGGTAATTGTGACACTGTTGACATCGGTAGCGAAATCCCATCATGCTCTCACTGTGGCAGTAGGAACATTCAACTGGATGGAAGACTAAGGGGGAGAAAAAATGAAGAAAAAAGAAAACAAAAGTATGAATCAGAATAAGAAAAATAGAGCCTGATGGGAGTTGCATTTTTTTTCTGTTGTGTGTCATGATTTCAGATAACAGTTAATTTTGGCCAAGAGGAGTATGACATTTATTCCTGGAATCCTACTACCTTTTCCAAGTATGTCTGTATAGGTGGAAGAAAGGAAATTGTATGGAGGGTGGATGTTCTTTTAACAATAAATATCTGGAATGCCATTGTTCTTTTTACTCCTATTTCTTACTATGAGAATATAAATTATCCAAACAGACTTGCCATTCCCCTCAAACTGTTCCTCGTCTTCAGGAGACTAGCACAGCTCACTGGAATATTCAGAAGTACAATGGATGAATACACCAGACAGTCCAGTGAGTAAAGAGCAAACATTAGGGAAACAAAAATGAGAAGATCAAAGAAAGAGAAATGAAGAGAGAATAGAAAAACTGGGAGAATTAAGTTATCTTAAAAAAAAAAAATGGAATGGCTAGTGGGTTTATATAATGAATAACAGAAGACTCTTTCTTTCCAGTCAGGAAAATGGACTGGGCCCAATAAGATGTGTAAATGATCTGAATACAGTTCTCATTCAGATAGTTCAAGAGACAATTAAATTTTTTTTGAAAGGAAATTTGAATTAGAAAGCAGGTAAGGTGAAAAATGTGGGACTTGAATCTAACAAATAATTAAATCCAAGTAATTATCTATAGGTTATGATCTCAAGATATTAAATAACAACCACATTTCTTGTCTTTGGTAAAGTTCTTCCCAGCCAGTGAAAACAATTTTAATAAGAATAAATAATGATGAAAAGTGAACTATAAAAACAAATTTATAACTAGCTCTGGATGCATTATTGTTTAAGCAAGTATCACATGCTCCTTCTGGCTTTTGGGAAAAGCTGGGTGAGACCTGACTCTATAAACAGCTGATCTGGGACAATGTCTAGGAAACTGATCTCTTCCAACAGGAAATACTGAGGGAGAAGGATGAAATTACAACTTTATGATTAGAAGATGATTAGCTCTGGAACTGCAAATAGTAATATGAACTTATCCTGCATAAGCCAGACCTTGATTGCTCTTTGCTTCTGCAGATGGGTAAGCATAAAAAAAAAAAATCTATAATTGGTAGTGATTACAGAGCAACCATTGAGTTGGTTGTTTAAATTTTCCTCCCTGAGCAAAACAAGATAAATTTATAACTCTTAACTACAAGAGATAGTAAAGGCATATTCTAAATTCTGAATGGAAAATTAAGTTAACTTTAACTTCAGTGCATATTAAGGATATACACAGAATTAAGATTCTTTTACCAGATTTGGGATAAGTCATTTTCTAGTTAAGTCTGGAGATCTCAGACTTAAATTAAACAATACACAAGAACACCTAAAGATTAAATGGAGGCACAGAATTTGTTTGTGTTTATATTTCCTTAAATCTTACATTTCATGCATATTTGGCTAGAGTAATTACTTTTATTAGAGATAAAATCTCCTTCATAAAAACAAACATTACAAAACTTACCTTATTCTTTTACATAATTATAACCACTGAAAGCTTACAGTCTGGAGTATATGACTAAAGACAATCAAAGGGTCATCATGTAATTTTTTTTCCTATGACCTCCACCTATTCCTAGCTGAATGTCTAAGTAAGCCCCTTTCATACCAATATTGTACTTAAGGTATTTACCAGAAAGTATCATATTCCTCATTGAGATACTTCTGGTTTACCAAGTCTTTCAGTCAAAACTGACTTGTAACTGAGAGGTTCACATAGAGATTTAATAAGTTTATGAGAGTCAACACTCATAAAGTTTTGGTGCACATCAGCGATGCTGATCTGGGACAGTGGTTTGTTCTATTGTAAACAAAACTGAAGCACAAGGGACTGTGGTGATGGAGCACCACGATGGAATATGTATGGTGGTAGGAGAACTACAGTGACTACAGTGAGGGGAGAAATCTATTTAATTTATATGAATGTCTCTATATAGTTCTATACATGTCTAAACAGTACTAATAATGTAAGAAAATAAATATGAAAAAGTTAAATATTTTAATTAAAATAACTTAGAGTTTCTAAATAGACTTTTCTTGGCTTAGCACTACAGACTAAAGGTCTGTTTTCAAGGATTTAAAAAGGGCCTTTTCTCAGTAGAAAATACTCACCATTTTCTACATTTGCCAGTCGATGCAGCAGGGGCAGCCAGACCAGACACTGAGGGGGAGGATCTGACATAAGCGTGTCCAAGAAAGCATTTAATGTGACTTTTTTCTGCATCAGAAAAAAAAAGACCATAGAAATTTAGTACAAAGAATAATTTTAACTTACCCACTATAAAGGTCATTTGAGATTGAAGAAACAAAATATTCAATGAACCGCTAATATATGAGGAAGCAATTTGAAACTTGTTCAAAATTTAAAATATTGATTGCTTTTTTTATCCCCCTCCCCCATAGTACTGGATTATTTCCACTGAGGCTGAATCAACATTATCACAAGGAGAAAAGCAATTCTGAGAGCATCACTTTCATATATGAGGGACATTATGAAAATGATGAGAAAGATGAAGAATGGACCCTCGTTTTACAGTGTTACCGAGCAGTATGTTACTTCACACTCTACAATTATCATATCAATCTTCTAAATTGATAGAAAAGCTTCCATTTCAAGCTTCCTCAACATCCTTCTATTTCCTGGCTAATATGAATGGTTCTGCTATACAAGATTAGCAGAGGATCCTATTAGGAGACCGTGAACCTTCCCTTTCAAAAGAGAACATTATAAATTTAAAAAAAAATCCCTTTTTCCTTCTATATATTCCAACTCAATTCATTCTGAATTTGTATTATTATCCTGGTACTTTCTGATACAGAAAACAGAAGTGTTATGTCTATAAGTTTCTTTCAAAATGACAACAATCAAAAGTTAAACCAGTTTGTGATATTACAATAGTAATAGTAGCTTGATTACACCTGAGGAGAAAAATCAAGCACTTCAAAAATTAGTAATGATGGAAGAAAAAAAAAAAGAATTCTTAAAAAAGAATTGATTATTTTAATAAAAATATTTAGAACTTCTATATAGAATTCTAAGACTACTATTTATCTAGATGACTAAATAGCTTTTAAAAGCAGTGCATGTCTTTATGCAAAATCACTATTTTATCTGAAATTCTGAACTAGAATATTAAAGTAGATGGATAATTTCAATTTTTAAGCTAAAACAGTTCTAAATAGGGTCCTCCCTGGTGGTGAAGCGGGTTAAAGCACAGTACTAAGAAGCTAAAGCCACTTCAGCATTAGTTCAATCCCCGCCCTGGAGGTGACCCACATCGGGAGGGAGACCTCTCCAACGACCTGCCTGCTGCTCCCCTCAGCAGTGTACTTTGTCCATCCACCTGTTCTGCTCCCCACTCTGCAGAGAATCCTCTCACCGCCCCTGTACCTCTGGCCTATACCCAAGCTCTGTATGCATAAACAAATAAATCTGAAAACAAACAAACAAACAACTGTGCAATAGTGTATTTTCTTAAATACTATTTTTTTTAAAGATTTATTTATGCATTCAGAACTGGGAAACAGGCCAGAGGTGCAGGGGCAGTGAGAGGCTTCACCAGGGACAGAGTGGAGAACAGAACAGGCAGATCGACGAAGTACACTGCTGAGGGGAGCAGCGGGCGGGTCAGGAGAGGTCTGCCACGCCATGTGGATCTCCTCCGGGGCAGGCGGCAGGCGGGGATCGAACTCATGCGGAAGTGGCTTTAGCTTCTTAGTGCAGTACTTTAACCCGCTGCGCCACCAGGGAGGGCCTTAAATACTATTTAAGAAATAGCTGTGCAACAGTGTATTTTCAAGATGTAGAGCTTATAGTGGTCCTTATAATTTATAGCTTTTTGGTAACCTTCAATTAAGCTTTTCAGTTAACAGATATTTACAAGTTTAGCCTTTCCTCATAATACTGAATAGTTCAAGTTTTCAATAGGATTGATGTTTTAACATTTTTTTCAATATAGATTGTGTACAAGTAATATGATATATATTTTTTATAGCTGCCATACTCTATGGGTTTAAAAGAATGTCACTTTCAAAACTATCACTTGGGGTGACTTTGGACTTTTTTTCCTATGAAACAATTTCAAACAATTTTGGATTTCCATCATTTGAACTGCTGTTACAGCCAGTTTTGAAGCATAAAAATAAATTGGTCTTACTATTTTTATTTGTTTTGCTTGTTATTGTAACTCAAATGCTCTTACTCATTTTGACCACTCACAACCACTAAAAATCACTGAGAGTTCCCAAAAAACACCTACTGATTTCAACATTAATAAATCTCTCATCATGGAGGGTATAAAAGATTATATAATGACACAGCATGTAGGATATCTCAAAAGGAATTTTTAATACAGAAGTCCTACTAAAGTTTAAAAGTTCCCATTATTCTAGTGAAATTTGAATGAGAAATATGCTGAAGTATTGGAATATTCATTGAGGATTCTATATACCTACAAACCTATTACTAAGAAAATTATTCTTGTTTCTCTGATAGAATAAATTTAGTCACAATTCATTGGATGGACCATTTGTACATTTGTTCATATGAACAGATAACACATTTTAAAAAAGCAAAACAATAACAATTAAACACCAGCAGTTTTAACAGATTGGACCTGGAGTTAGAAGAGCAGAGTTTAAGATCCAGCTCTCCTGTACTCATCAGTTATCCAATTCATATTGTTAAAAATGAATATTTTTTTTTTCTTCATTAGTTTACAGGGTTGGTGCAAGGCATAAATTAAACAAACTCCTTGTGAATAGCAAAAAACACAAAGAATTCTATGTTTAGAATGTCAAGAAAAGTTGGAAAGCAGTGAAGTTGAAAATATTAAGTTAATAGATTTTATTTGGAAATAATAGATAACATTTTAAAAGTCAATTTCAGTTAAAAAATAAAAAAAGACTAACACTTAAGTGAGTGGAGTTTACTATAGTGACATTTTAATGTGTGCCTTTCAGGGATCAGACCTTTAAGATAAAAAGGTGGTTAAGATAGAAGCTATTGAGAGGCTTTTTGAATAAATGATGAGAAAGAGGCGAGAAAAAGGAGTTGGTAGTAAGAAATGCAGAGGACTATGAAGATGGAATACTTGGAAAATGTAGATTCAAGAAATAGTATGGTGGAGAGGAAAGGAATAATGACCGGTGTGGCTGAGAAATGAGTGGGAGAAGGAAAGAAGGGCTCAGGGTTTCAAATAAAATCTGAAGGGAGATTTAACTTGTATGTGGTGTAGGCTGCTAAGCAGGAGAATGACATGGCCATAAGGGAAGGTGGGCATCTCTTAGAAGAGAGAAAACCTCATCTTCTCTGCATTCTTATCTATTATATGCATTTTGGGGACTTTTTAAAAATTCCTTTTTTCAGATGAGGATCTGAAGTAGTTTGAAATGCAATAGGGTATACAACAAAGAATTAAGCATACACAAATCCAGAGGCAGAGGGATCTTTGGGATTAATAGAACATGTCAGGCAACAGATGATGAGGATGAAAGAGATCTGAGAAACTTCTAGAAGGTGGAATCAAGAAGATATGAAGTTTGATGAGAACTTTCGGGTGAAAAATTGTAGAGAAGGAGGCTTAGGTAACAGGATCCATTCTGATCTCACAACCCCAAAGAGAAATATAAAAAGGGATGTGCTTTAGTTAGGAGCAGAGATAAGGCACCCAAGCCAGCCTGGGGGTGGGGGAAGTGGAAATGGGCAGAACAACCTCCTTGATCAGATGCCACAGCAGCAGAGTAGCAGTTAGTGTATCAAACCACCCTTCCCTTATGGTGGCATAGATACGCTTATGAGTCTACATAAATCCAAGGCACCTTGACTTCTTGAGATCCTCTTGACCTCCTAGATGACCAAGTAAGCAAATGACAAGGTTATTAGCTGGACCAGGATCCTTTTAAGTGATCATTTTATTTTATTTTTACAAGTTATGTTTATTGAGGTAAAGTGTTTTACATTATTGTATTTGATATAGGTTTAACCTTCTAAAAGTATTTTAGTATTTTCATAATATGTCACTACCAGTGCCCCAATAATCCTTCACCATGTTCCACTGGGAACTTCCTTTCCCACTCCACCCCGCACTCCACCTTTCTCTTCTTCTGATTGCCCCAATAAAAGATCATTTTGGAGAACATAATTGGTTGGATTTAAAAGATATTATAAAGAAAGACTTAATTGATGGATTTATAAATTCATGCAGTCCGGGGCACGCAGAACTCTATATTAAGAAGCTTCCCATGACTAATGTGTACCACCCCCAGTTAAAACAGGTCACTCTGCACCCCAAATGCATCATGTTGAAGAAGATTTAGCCAGACACATGTTTGTATTTTGGGTCTTCTGGGTCATGACAGGTCATGCTGTGATGCAGTCTTGTCTCCTTTGCTGAACATGGTAAAGCTTGGTGCTGGTTCAGACTTGCGTCTCATGTGCAGCTGAAGGAAGAACCTCTTTTTGATAAGCAGTGATGATAAGAATAATACTGATACAGAGGATATAGGGTTTTAAAGATTCAGTGACAATGTAAGTAACAAACTTAGGACAGTTTGCCTGGCTGATGGTCAGTAAACACCACCTGTGATTATTATCACTAGGTGCGTTGAGTTAGTTGCTGGCTTGGGGTCATTTGTAGAGGCTGGAAGATATATTACAGCTAGTGTATACACTGGGCAACAGGAAGAAAAATGTGTCTACATAATGACTTGATATCACATACAGAAGAAGAGTGTAGGGTAAGTGAAGTTATTAGGCTTTTTCTGCCCTCCTCTGCCAGCCTTTATGACCACACCTGCAGTCTGCACTCCTTCCATGAGAGGGTCCAGAGAGCAAGGGCCTGCTCACCTGCAAACACACACATGGGCCTGGAGGGATGGATAAAAGGTGGTGTCCTTGGAGAATCACTCTGAGGCAAGATCAGGAGATGATACAAAACTGAGAATGCCAGAGAGAACACCAGAGAGAGGCCAGAGAAAGTGCAAAGTATTTTTGGGGCATTGGAGGGCTCCATTGCCTGCTTGCCTGCCTGACTCATGCCTGCCTCCTTACAGCCAGCCTTCCTGCCTCGCGTGCCTGTATACCTGGTCCCACAATAAAGGCCTGTGAAATTCATAGAGGGTCCAGGACTCTCTTTATCCACAGGGCAGTGAAACTACCCTGTGCATGTTTGCAGTAGAGGGAGCAAATGCTGTTTGAGAGATACTTCCTTTGACATGTTTACCCCCTACCTGTTGAGAGAAACATGATCTAGCTGACTGTTCTGTGTAACCAAATGAAGGACCTTCAAAAACCGCGGTGGGTAGTTTGAGAACTTCCCGCAGGAATTGATCATATCGTCCATAAACCATCACCCCACTGGAGTCAGAAATCATTGAGAAAATATCTAATGGAAAGAAAAGGAAAGAGATTTATTCAACATGTAAATATTTCCCACTGTTTTAGTTTGACATATCTGCTGCAAATAACAACAACAACAAAAATAGTGACAAAATAGATTTTATGAAAAAATAATATACAAGTTAATTTTCTGTGCTGAGACATTCCTGGCATTGTTTTTTTTCTGTGGTGTCTTTTTATAGAGGAGTCTGGCATATAGCATGGGCTAGGAACTTGGGTAAAACTAGCACATTCTGTTAAAACAGAGAACATCTCATTTTTCTTGACATCAATGATCAATTCATAGAGAACTTAATGGGAAGAAGTTTTAAATATATGAGAAATATGCTGACTTCACATTTGAGACATACGAGAATTTTATACCAACAATAGATTGTGTCTGTATATCTGTCTAGCTATGTATTTACCCTGCTCTATCATCACTAACACTTTGGGGTTTGGGTTTAAGATACAGAAAATGAAAGGCAGTGGGATAAAGATGTAGCAAAAACACTTGATTAACTTCCCACAGAAGCAGAAAACTTTCTATAAATCATAGTGCTCTGAGTAGAAGAAATTTGATTTACTGGGAAGGGTCTTTTGACTCATGGAGTGAGAAGAAGCCTGGGCTTGTGGATGATCAATGAGGGAGCCAGAGGTCTGTATTATTCTCAGCAGAGCCTGTGACTTCCCTGAGTCTCCTCTGGTCTTCAGTTTCTGCCACTATGTGCACTTAATGAATATGAATGGCATAATTTCCCAAGGCACTTTATAATTCTCTGTGGAAATCACTATTGGAATGAAAGCATTTGCTTTTATATAGTCTATCACCATGTTAGAGTGTAACGAGGCCAGCCCAGCTGCTGGGACAGAATTGTAAATTCAGTGTGCTACCTCTGCTCATTTTGGGCTTAATGTTGAGGGTGAGAGTTTGCTCTGACTTCCTTTAAATATTCCAGTTAGAAAGGTTTCTACTGTGTTTCTAATATCTGTCAATTATGAGGCTATAATCTTTCTTAGCGACAAAATTAATATTCTTGTCTACCTTCACAATGTTGCTTACTTAGTAAATTTTGTCTCTGATGTTTTACTATATTTAGACAAAAAGAAGTTGCCAATAGCAAAAACCAAACAAAAAACTAACCATATGTAATTATAACTGTAGAAACTCAAAGATTACAATCCTGGGGTAGGGGAGTGAGACAAGTAAGATGGATTTTCTGAATGGAGCTGCCATCTCGTGTGCTTTTAGCCAGGTTAGTTGACTATAATTGGGTCAGCCTTGTGATCTCCTAAGTTTGGATTTTCTAGGACAGGGAATATTTTGAAAAATAGTGTGGGCCTTTAAAATCTCCCATGAAAGAATTTAGAGACTATTTCTAACTAGAGCAAAAGCAAAGGGAGAACAACAATTGTTCTCAAACCTAAAGCTAAAATTAAATTCATTTATGTTGATGGAGTTCTCCTAAGCAACAGCCAAACTAGGGTCAGGTTATTGAGATTCAAGGTAAGCTGTGATTAATGCCCACTTAGGATTTTAAAAAGAAATGAGGGAACTCTGAGAAAGCTATCTCTGGGTTTGTGACCTAGACTCCCAATTCCTATGATAGTGCTCTCCCTTACACAGCATTATATCCAAAAATACCTAATATTTAAGCTAAGGGATAGGATTCAATGGACATATTTCTTTTAAACCATAGCATACATATCATTTTAACTAGTAAGTAGTGAATTTTTTATCTCCATCCCTATCCTAAGTCTACTGAATCAGAAATTCTGGGAGTAGAGTTCATGTTTCAAAAAGCCCATCAGTGATCCTATATATTTTAAAATTTGAGAACCATTGGTATAGGGGAAAAGGTCAGGGTTCAAACCCTGATTTCATCTTAGTTATGTGATTTCCTATAACTTTTTGAGACTCAGTTTCTTTACCTAAAACAAATAATACAAATAAACATCCACCTTTTCTTAAAAAGCTCTACCACATTAGTGGCAAAATTTATATAAAGACCCAATATCCTTCATGTACTTTAGCTATCCTGTTTGTATTGGGGTCTAGTTAATTCTTAGTGAACAGTGTCTTTATGCAATTTTCATGCCTATACCCTGGCAATGTTTACTGTGGAGTATTTGGAATTTCCAGTGATTTGAACAGCACTGACTGAGATGAGTAAGGAAATGTGTGGGAACTTTGGCATTAGATTCCCTAATGCCAGAGTGGTTACCTCACATGGCCCTCATGCCCCTGTAAAACACTACAGTACAATGAGATCAAAAGAATGTATATCTGACTGTAATATCACAAGTAGTCTATTTGGTGATACTCAACAAGTTATAAGTAATAAGAATACTATGCTCATTTCACTAGCATTTATTTAATATGAAAGTATTGCTACATAAATTCAAAAAATCAATGTATTTTGTGTTTCCACTGACTCTCATAGAAGGAGCAAAGCCACAATGGGCAGGGAACATGGCACAAATGGGGGAGAGGAAAATGTAGTGTACAGGAGGAGTAAACAAAGAGACAAAGGAGTCACTTACATCTTAATTTGTCCATGATCTTGCCTCCACAGAGTGTGGCTAATGCCATTTTGACAGCAAATACTGAAATTTTACCATGACCTTCCCTGTTTAATGAAAATAGAAAAAAGATGTCATTTGGAGAACTTCCAATAACAGGTTTGACATTTTTCTATTCTGTAGAAACCATAGGACATTGTAGTTGCATGCATTATGTAAACACAACCATTTTAGAAAAGGTTATGAATACAATTGAACACACATTTCTCAAAAACTGTCCATTCCATGCTTCCCCTTGTATGGGAGATGGCAGAATCTTCATGTTATACTTTATCACTTAAGGCAACATGATTTTAAGCACAATGATTCCACAGTTTCTAAAATTTATATAAGCAAGCCTTCAAAAAATCCTCTTTTATTTGTCAGAGAATTCCTGAATTTGGCTAGGGTAATATGAGGAATTTTTTCATCACATTTTTTCCACTGTTATTTACTGTCCACAAGGCTTCTGAAATTATGTGATACATTTAATTTTCAAGGGAAGTTGGTATGTTTAAGAGACAGAAATAAGAGCTCTTTGTGATAGCTCTCTTTTACCTAAAGGACAAAAGAATTGCCTAATCACCATTGATTCAAGAAATATAAACAACTTCACAAAGTATTTTATTAAAGGACACACTATAAAAAGTATAACAGTTCAGCTAAGTGATTTTCCAGCTGGAAGATTGTTTATTCTTATATCCTTGGAATCAGAATTAGACCATATTAGTAACTAATTTCTTTGATGATTGTTACTCTTAAGAATGATCAAGGATTATTTAAAATAATAAAGTTGCCGGGAGGTAAATAAAGTCTGTACTGACAAGGGTTTGGTATACAGAATAAATCATTTATATGATTAAGACTCATCTGACATATTCAAAGAATAAGATAGAATAATGGTGTCTTTGTTCCTTACTAGACTTCAGAGAGAGTTTACATTCATCTTTGTTGTTATCATTCTCAGTGTAGTACCTTGAGATAGAGCTAGCCAGAGTGCAAAGTTCATTGAACCCAAAGCTAGTGCTTCTCCCATTTATATTTCTAAATCAGAGAACAAGACTTACAGTAAGTATTAATTGGGAATCCTCACTTTGACACTCCATATCAAGCCAATTATGTTGAATATTTAAATGATGATCTTTGCAAAGTCCTCCCACAATACTCAGACCCACCTTGACACTACCCTGATTGACCTTGACCTTCTACAGTCTTACTTCTGGTTGTCAGACTCACCATATATATAGTGATCTAATAATGCATCCTAGGGTAGGCTCCTTCCCTGTTCACAATGAACCCAATGTTTGAGGGACTCAAATACACAACTTAAAACTTTGTTATGTCCACTCTGACTGCCATTGCTTCACCAGCTCTGGCTTTAACACAGTAATAACTTCTTCAGAGTTCTCTCAATTTGTACACTCACCTCACACAGTTAAATGTATCAGTTCATTATTTAAAACAGTTACTGTCTCCTTTTGCCTATAGGATATAGTCCAACTTTATCCGCCTTCTCCTACTTGATCTGTTTACCAACTCTGTTGTACACTCCACTCCATAGTCCACTGAATCCTGTCCCTGTCCTTCCTCCCTCCTCTGCCTATGTCTCTTTCACCCATCAGTCTTACTGACCCATCTCAGTAACACCACTCACTCTATTCTCAAAACATTTCCCCCCTAAATGCAAGACAATTGCTTTTCACTACACTTTGACCTATTATTTGGCACCTATCAGACTGAGTAATTTTGATTTATTTACATGTCTAGATGTGCCTTGATTCCACATGGTGAGATTCTTGAGGCAGAGACTATGGCTTCTGGATTAGATGAATTCCCAGTACCTTGCAGTATATCTCAGAGTTAGTGAACACTAAATTTCTTGTATTAATGAATGGCTATTAATCATTATAATAGGTACTCCTAGGATTTTGAAGGTCCTCACATTAAGTTGTTTACTATTTAGAACAGGCAGCAAGGATAAAAATGCAATGCTTGTAAAAAAAATTCTCATTAATTTTTTGCCATGTCCCTGTATTCCCAATTACATGGATAACTGGAAATATCGAATGCTTTTTTATTTAAGGAAACAGTTTCATATGCTAAGTGGTAACATGATCCAAACCAAGAGAAAAAGGAAATAGGAACAATACAGTGATAAAGTGTTTAAAATGCAAAGAAAATGAGGAATATTATATATGAAACTTCAAGAGCAATACACATTTCTTTCAATGCATCAGAGAGATTTAACTTAAGAGGAAAAGACCACAGATGACATTGGAACAGTTTTCCAAAGGGTGAAGTTATGACAGCTCACAGGTAAAATTCTTCAACCTTAGCATTAAATGAAGAAGATCAGTGGGGGATCACTAATCCTGTATTGTTTCAGGAAATGCAAGATTAATAGTATTAAATCCAAAAGTGGTTGTATTGGAGCTATTTTGCCAAATTGACATAATCCATCTAGATAAATCGCCAAGTGGAGGGCAGCCCAATGAGAGTTTTGCAGGAACTCAAGGGTGAAATTAGGCTAGTGGAATCTATTGTCATGCAAGCTACAGTGCCAGATTGCAAATGTGACCCCTGTCATGAGGAAAGATTCAGGGGGGGACGCAGGAATGTAGGTCACAGTAAGCACACAGTACTGGGTGAGTTCAGACCTCAGGCCTTGCTCACCTCCTGCCGCTTGCCACTGGATAGGAGAAGCTGAAGGAATGAATGGAAATGGCCAGCTCCACCCTGGAGAATGGGAGCACCTCAAACTAAAATATAAACGGGTTACTTTAAAAGAATATTTTCAGGATGCTGTAACAGAGTGAGGAAAAGCAGGGGAAAAGAGAAAGATTTTCTACAGCTCTTTGATAAGAATCTCAATACCAAAGGCTTTTCCTTAAACAAAATCACCTTGGGATCCTAACAACAAACTTTGGTTATGAAACAAGAATTGGCATCATCACAGGAAACAAGGAGGAGTCTTGTTGCCTGGAAGTGTCGAGGAAGTGGAAGCCAAGTTGATGAAGATGGGTAACAGGAAGCTCCCAGGAGTCTTGTGCAAATGAGCAGGAAAGCACATTGTTCTGCAGTGATCTGCACACACCACACTTGTAGGAGAGTGGGAACACAGCACAGGTGGGAGGCTGGCCGTCAGTCAGAAGGCAGGAGGCTGCCAGGTATGCTGGGGTTGGTTGAAGAACACAGGTTGTCCCAGTGCTTGTGGGCCAAAGGGCCTCAGAGTGAGCAGCAGCAGGAAGAGCACTATAAGCCTGTGTTCTTGGTTAGCTTTTGTGAAAGGTGATAGCAGCCTCCCATTTCCTGGGCAATACTGACTGTGACCTTGATTGCTAGAGCTGGGGAGGTTCTCAGAATCAGTAATCCATCACTCAGCCACATAAGCTTTTTTTTTTTTTTTTTGTAATAGAAACTGCTAGTGCAATTGATTCCTTAGTGTTTAAGTGTTTAATACAAGCTTGAATTAAAAAAAAAAATTACCCAATTATTTTTAATTAAAAGGATAATTTCATTTTAAAAGTAAAATGAGATTTTACTTAATTTTATTTTTATTTTCTTTAAATATCATTTGGCATAAATGAACTATATCTTATTTTTAAGTCATTTACCCTGAAGCTTTTGCTAATGCAAATTTTAATTTTCTGCTCTAACTTGATATTGAAAAATACCCTCTCAAATTATTGTGTGGGTATTTAATTAATATCTAAATGAATATTTAAGACAATCAGCAAATTATCATAGGTACAAACTGAATTTGCTTCATTGGTCAACATTTCTTTTACTTTCCTTCTTTATGTTTTGTTTTTTCATAGAATGTTTTCACATTTTCCTAAGGGACAATAGATTGAAAATGGATCAGGAAACAATTTGTTTAAAATACATATGGAAATTTGAAGAGTTCTGTCTTAAACACATACTTCAATGTTTTAAAAAATGAGTAATTCTTTACAATGGGCTGAGCTTTCATTGATTCTTTTATCTAAGAAGTTACTTTTAGGGAAAATTTGTCTGGAAAGGAAATACTACTTTTTAATTTAATTTTATTTTTATTTCTTAAAGATTTATTTATGCATACAGAACTGGGATACAGGCCAGAGGTTCAGGGGTGGTGAGAGGATTCACCAGGGACAGAGTGGGGAGCAGAACCGGCAGATTGATAAAATACACCGCTGAGGGGAGCAGCAGGCAGGTCAGGAGAGGTCTGCCAC